ACCCTGCATACTGGATAAACGATATTTGATTTGTAGGAATTAGGAAATCTAAATATTCAAATTAAAATTGACTTTATGTATATTTTTAAACCATTTAATCAACCGACAGGCAGATAATTTTGAAGATCGGAAATTACGCAGAAAAACCCGAATTACTGTGAAATATTAATAGCAATTGCTCAAAGTGAAGCGCAAGATTATTCGCGAAATTACACTGCGTTTTAACACCTTATTGAACTTGTCTTTCATATCCCGAGAGATACATGAATGTAGGTTAAATTGTAAATCTTCGTGTTTTCACTTTATGCGATTTTCCTCGCTAATTCACGCATCCTTCAAATCCGTAGAATGTTGGTAATTGTAATGCGATATCGAAAATGGTCACCTTAGCCCGGATTGATCACTGATCCGAAAATGAGATATTATCAAACAAACCATTACTGTTAACGGGTAGAGACAATTCGAGCTAGAACATCGACAGAGTGGTGGATCGTGTAAGCATATCATCGATGGTTCTGTTTGTTTAATGGAGTTTCCATTAAACCCGAATTGTACGGCAGAGTTTCCGGGAATATTTCGTTACATGGGAATTATGCCTCGGATGGTAGGCATGTTTGCTTGCCGATATTGCAACATGCACAACAACGAAGCAAAAAATTCATTCTGCACCGTTCAAGTGTTTTCGCGTTTACATATTGGCCGTTTAAAGGGCACGAGCTCGTGAAAACATCCATATAACTACTAACCAAATTACCTGAGCGGCCCTGGATAATCCGATTAGAGGGGTTTATTACAAAAAGTTCGCCACGTAAGCAGATAAAGACGCAAAAAGCCGACACAGCACGACGAAGAGAAACGTGAGTAAAGCGGATTTAGCGAAAACAATCAGCTTATGACACCTTTGCCTTTCCCTTTTGGTGAAATTCCTTTGCAAATAGTAGGAACCTTTGCAAATGTACTGTGAGAAAATTATTCTCAATACGCAGCAAGCAAAACTAGAAAACAATGTTTCCGCTTTGTTCAGAAGCTTGGGAACCTTCAATGCGGCCGCTATAATTGTCATTCAGCACTGACCATCGCTAATGTAATTCTTGGCTTAATCTCCATCAAGTCACGTTCATCTGCATTGCAAAGGATACCCCGCCTAATCCCATTGGGAGTGGCTCTGTGCAATCATAAGCCAATATACACGACACACGTTATTGCTGGAAAATTAAGTGCATTGACTTGCATTTGCTCATTGTATTCCAGAGAATTATTAGGCATAGTGATGCACAATGTATATGGCGCGAAATGGACATTTGAAGGTGAGTAGCGAATGGAAACCGTAATTCAGATTTCAGTTTGCTCGTTTTTCGTTGGCAAATAAAAGTCGCTGGCATGCTCACAATACCCAGCATGCAGTAACTTTAACTCCCGCATACAAGCTTCTTGCATCTTGGGGTTATTTGTGCTCTGTTTCCACGTTCCTGCCATCGCAACTTCTAAGGGCATTAAATGACAAAGCGATTTAGCTCTATAGTGAGTTCTATTTAATCTCTCCCTGTTACCTGGGCTTGGTAACTGTGCTCCTCCGATAGACACTGAAACTAATTTTACCGCCAATCTTTGATCAGAGCGACTAAACCGAATTTTGCCACTTAAAAAGGCGCAACAAATATCTTCTTTGTATCTGTTGAAATTGGAGCATTGACATCTTCTTGCTGTCGTTAAAGCTGGCGCTATTTACCAAACAATTTTCCGCAGCAACCGAAGGTGTCATAAGCCGACTGTTGTCGCAAAGCTTCTTAGAATTGGGACGAGTCGTTTACGTCGGCTTCTTGGTTGAAAGACGTGGCGGATTTCTTGTCACCGCTTTGCAACAAGTTGTTCTTTCATTTTTCAAAGCGTTGCGCCATGCTTATACTTGGGGTCATGTAGCAGGAAAATACAATAAAAATTCAAAATTTTTCTACATAGAAACATGCCCTAATAGATTTTTGGATATTTTGCTGATGGGACAGTAGCTGCAAGTGGACAAAGTGGACGAAATAATAATCCTAACAAGCTCTTGAATATCGTAGGTCCAAACGGACAGAGTTCTAACATCCTTCCGATTCGATGTTTCTAGCGTTGTTGGGCCAAAAATAGTCGCCTTTGTTACAAATTCCATCAATATTATAGAATTCCTTAATTCCCTTTAGGGCTTTTACCAAATTAATATTCGAAAATTGTTTAATCCGGCCTGCACAAAACTCGACATTTATTCTATATCTGTGCATCCCCTGGGTCGTTTAACATTTTGGAACATGTAACTCATTGTATGATTTATTGGTGTCCATTATTGGATTAACTGTTTGCAGTAGACAGTTTATGGGCATTTTATTGTTAAAAAATAAAGCCAATTTTGCAATTGTCTCATATAACTTCCTCCTGAATGAACTGTGTCCATCTGTTGCTTTTACCATTAAGAAAAACACTGTAGGACAGGAAATTTAAATATTAATTCCGTCGGACAGACCTCCATTGGTTGTGATTATTTGCACCGGAACAAACAAAGCAATAAAGCCTGCACAAAAGCACGCAATCCATGCTGTAAAAACCAAGTAGCCATTCCTTAATTAATCATGAACTGGGCGGTTTTTGATTAAAATCAAATTCCCCGGTTTTAGTTCTGCTAGACGTTTCGCTTTCCTCCACTGCCGCTATTCTCAAAGGCGATGCAAATGAATATTTGAATTTTGCACAAAGAATCCGGCAGTTATGACTGTCCAAGGCTTTATCTAATTAATTATCAGTCTAGGCCTAATTGCAGTCATTTACTGCGCTATATTTAGTTTGAATTGAACTTTGCCAGGAAAATTAAATCCCCCGGAAAATCGCTGAAATCCGTTTTAATCGCATTGTCTGCTTAAGGGAATTGATGCGATGCGGTCGCTCTTAATATGCGATATTATCAAACAAACCGTTGATACAAACAAGTTTGAGTGGTCGCTTCTGTAGCCTGGCTCGATTTCGATTGGCTTAGATCGGTTTCTGATGGACTTATTTTGTTCGGCCTTGTATTTGAGCGCTAATTTGGGCGAACTGCTGCTGTCGCACTAATTTGAGCGAAAGTTGGCGAAAAAAACCAAAACACTTACCTTTATACTGCACCTTGTTAAATACGCTCGTGATCAGTCTGAGCTCTCCGTTCGGCGTGTCCCCAATCTGAAATCGTGACAAGAATACATTCGTTACTTTTATTTCCCCCGTGAAAAATCCGGGAAAATATACGAAATGGTTATTTTAAAATTTAATACTACGCGACGAGAAAATGGACCGAAGATGTTGCTTCTCTCAGGTTTACTAGATCAAGTGAAAAGTCATCAAGCAACAGGTTAACTTTGCCTAGTCATCGATACCAAACTCCTAGGAACTTTTGAGCGATTTTAACTGCCCCCGGACATGTAGCGATTGGGGAAAAAGTGATTAATCATTTTCGGCAATAAATATCCATTAAAAACCGGTTACCTTCAATTCGCCCTTCAGATGAAAGCGAGTAATTTGAAATAAATCTCTCCAATGGAAAATATCGCTTCATATTTGTCCACATTAACTGGGTTTCACGGCATCGTAGGTCCGAGCGAACTATCCTCCACTGGCAACGAATGCATATATCCAGGGATTTGCCGGATCGAAGTGCATCTGGTATGCATTTTTAGCCTCCCATGAAAATCCTTTTGCGCGTTCGTAGCAAATTACGTTCAGCCAGTATATTTTATGCATGTCTACTTGATGTTGGCCAGGAAAAGCCCACATATCTGCTGGAAATTTCCGATTCAGAGCACAACAAACTGACCAAATGCCACTACGTGGTCACAACGATTCTAATTGTGAGAACCACGCAAAGCCCAAGACGGGGCGCCATTTGCAAATTGGCTTTTTTACAACTTCGCAGCGGGCAAATCCAGAGAATGAGCTTCTATTAGGCAGAGTTGGAAAGGAATTAATTTCAGTGTCGGGCACATCGGACAGAAGTGTTGCCCATCCCCATATCGTGACTCAGTCAAACTAAACTTCTATCAGATTTTCATGCATGCGTTCTATTTTCGGCTTTTAATTAAAAGCGAACTTTGGGAACGAATATGAACACGGTGGGGTAAATTCGCATTTTTTCAACTGTGAATTTAGAGCGCTTTTTTGAATGAACGCAACGAATTTTTCTCAAAACTATCGGCAATAATTTGTAAGAAAAACTGGACATCAAATTCGAAAGTTCCAGGTTGCTTCCTTCAAACAAAGCCACCGGTAGGAACGAATTATACCCCCTTATACACCACAGGCGTTTCCATAAACCGTTCCAGATTTACTTTACTATACTCGGGCTTGTAGTAGTTTAATCCGTTCAAATTCTCTTGCTCTCTGGCATTAAACACTGTTTTCGCCCCGTTCTAATTACTAATCCCGTTTTAATTTTAATCGTCTAACTTAACAGGGATTTGTCCTTACCTGTCTACAGTATCCACGAGTTATGGATTAGACCCAGTTTTATTTAATTGAATACCATAAGCGCTGATCTGTGCAACCTTTGTATACCTCAAAGGGATCTTTAAAGGTAGATCGCGAATGGCATAATTTCAATAGACGCGCTTTATATCATCGCTTTAAAAAATCCAAAGAATTTCGGCCGCAGAGTCCATTTAAAAAGCCACCAACGCAAGTATTTAATTTGTAACGCGATAAATTCAACGGGGTTGCAATTTTAAAGCCAACTTGTGTTACATTTCGGGCGGGACCGCGTGAATTAGGGCCGCAATTTGTTTATTTTTGGTTTATTCTAATATTTATATTTGCTATTTTCGATATGTTTCCCATAAATATTTGCTCACATGCCGAACGAACGGGTGAAATTTAAAATACTTTAAAACGCCCAAAGTGACAATCAGATTGATCATTTGATACGATTTGTGTTTATAGAACGTGTTCCTGTTTATATTCAAATATGCATCAACTTTTTCAACTTTTCACTTTTTAGGTTCAGAAAGTTTAACTGTTGGACTAAATTTTGCTGCTCTAGTTAAGTCAGATGTCCAAAGGTAGAAAAACTGGTAAGATGTCAGACCATCGCATTATCCGTTTCCAAATTGAGTCGAACCAGCAAGAGATCACACCTAAAAAGCGGATTTGTAAATTGATTCTCAAAACTCAAAATTTCAGTTAACAATGTCAAAATAACTTCGAATTTTCGGCTACATAATCAAACTTGGATGGTGTTTAGAGGGTTTGAGTTAACAAGTTATCACTCATCGGTTAATGAGTTATAAGTCATTTATATAAGCTTTGCGACACCCGAGACTGGAATTTTCACATCTAAGAAAAAGGTCATCAACATTTTTTTCTGAGTACCGTTTTACTACTTTGTTCAAACAATTAAAAAAAGTCATCTAGATTTTCCCAGCAACAGAACTGAGTCCAAAGAAAGTCGACGAGTTGTCTTGTAAAATTGATCTCTTAATTTTTTGCATAAAAGATTCAGTTTGCCAGTATTTTACAGTTAAACGTTAGGAAAAACGCTGTTTTTCCTAACGAGTAAGAAAGAAACCCCAGTTTCTAAGAGTTTTCCAAATAAATTATTATAAACTTTCGCTTTTTCAGTTCGGGGAAATATTTTTGGAAAAGGACCCAGAAATAATTATTAGGGTTTTCTGCATACTTCTAAGCTGCAAAAATTTTTGCAAAGCCGTTAGGGAGGCGAGTGTTGTAATAAAATTTATCTCATAATTTTTCACAGAAAATACCTGAAAATTGTCAGTATTCTGAGTAAAAGTAAAAAATAATGCGATTTTTGCGTATAAAGAATTGCTTAGAAGAAACTTTGTTAAAACTGGAATGACCTGAAAAATTAAAGGAACTTTAAAATATTCAGAGCAATGAGGGCGGCTAATTTAACAAATATTTTTTTGTAAACTTTTGCTCTCTTCTGGTCGTTTTTTCAAGATAACCAATTTCTTGCGGTAAAAACTGAATAAAATTATTTGGTTTTTGTGCCAAATTTCAAGCTGAAATGGGTTTTCTAAAGTTCCCTGCAAACCGATGGACGAGGCGAATTTTGTAGCAAAAAAATAATTTTCTTATTTTTGGCTGCAAAGACCCTATTATTGTTATAAAAGAAGAAAATCATCAAAAAATAAGTTTTCGATTAAAAACTTTCAGTTTTGTGATCGGTTTTGGAGAAAACCTGAATGGTTTTCGGGGAGGAACGGGAGAAATTTAATTTCGTTTTTGTCCCGAATTCGACGCTGAAAAAAGTAAAAAAAAACTTTTATAAAGCTATAAATTGATCTTGTAATTTTTCGCGTAAAAGACCTCCATATCGTCAGAATTTTTAAGTGACAATAGATAAATTTTTTTAATTTCATTTTGCATAAAATGATGCGTTTTTGAGTGGAAAGTAAAGCAAAAGAAAATTTGTCAAAACTAAAAAAAACACATTTTTTAGCAAACTCTACAGTCTTTAGAGGTATGGAGATGACGAGATTTCTAAATTACCTGTTAAAAACTTTCGCTTGTTCTGTTCGTTTTTTGATACAAAATTGTTGGATTTTTGTTCCAAAATCAAAGTTGGAACGGTACTTCAAAACTTTGTAATTTTTCGCGGAGAATACCTTAAAATTGTCAGAATTTTTAAGTGAAACTTTAAAAAATTGACCATTTAGAAGAAAGAGTAACTTGGCTAAAACTGGAAAATTGTGAAAGTTTGAAGAAATTAAAGAAATATTATTAATAAATGGCCCATAAAATAAATCTAAAACAAGGAAAAAGGTTATCAACATTTTCCCAGAAACGGAACTGAGTTACTGCGCCAGTGCGTTGGGTTGGCGCACCAAGCCATTTGCGCAGCACTGTGCCAGCTCCTAAAAATTAATTGAGTTACCGAAACCTATTTTAAACCAAACAGATAGGGGTGTGATACATAAAAGAGTGAAAATCCCAGTACAGTCGCATGAAAGATAATTAATATCCACTAACGAAGTACGGTAATGGCCTAAATGCAAACGATGGTAAAATATCTGTACCATTTTGCCGTGCATTATGCAATTCCATAAACATAACACTAGATATTATCAGCTGTTACCGGAAAATTGACGATTACGTAGTCGCAACATCGCTAAATGGCATCGCGAGTGTGTTAGTAACGTTGAAATAGTAAAACATTGCCCTTTCACTTGGCCATTAGAAGAGCTGAAAAACAAGTAAACACAGCACAAAAAGATTTCATTTTAAGCTGTAAACTGTCTAAAAGAGAAATAAAAACACACAAAAGAATAAGTTTCAAGTAGGTAACATTAAAGAGTTAATTTTTTATATTTCTCCAAGTTAACTTTATTAAATCAAATAAATCAGACTGAGCAGTGAGAAACGCTTGCGAGTTTAATTAAGAAAGTGGATGCCAATCTTTATATCCTGCATGGAACTTCTAGTTTTTGCACATCTTTTCCAAAGAATGTCTTAGAAAATTTATAATTACCTGTATTCCTTCATCAGCTCATTTAATTTCCTTTGTGTTTTCTTCAGCAAGAGTAGATCGATCAGCGAAATTAACAATTATAATTAGTGAGTTGTGACACAATCGATTATAAAAAAAGGCGAAGAAAACAAAAAGGAATTTTTATAGCCGTTTATATCGCTGTAAAGTAGTTGTTCATCTTTTGCGTGGATCTACTTGGATTAACCGTTATTTTATTCATGGCATACCCGCTTTAAAATGAAATTTCCTTAATCTGATTCTAGTGGAAAGAAGCCATATTAAAAGAACACTGAGAAATGTAAAGTTGTTTAGTTAGTATATTGGAAGAGCCTCGAGAACATGCTGCTGATATGGCTTGCAAATTAATGGCCTGGAGTTTGGCAGAGAGCGATGTTTTCTTAAAAAAAAAATCAATAAACGCATGCTGTGAGAAATATTGTCCGTTTTTTTTCAATATCCCTTTTTTGCTAGTGCTGAATGTATTCGATTTGAACCGGATGAAGCTATTATTAGGCTTGGGTAACTCAGTTAATTTTTAGGAGTTGGCGCAGTGCCACGCAAATGACTTGGAGCGTCAACCCAACGCCTCGGCGCAGTAACTCAGTTACGTTGCTGGGAAAATGTTGATGACTTTTTTTACTTATTTTTAAATTTATTCAAGGTCCATTTATTAGTAACATTTTTGAAATTTCTACAAAATTTCAGAATTTTCCAGTTTTAGCCAAGTTACTTTTTCTTCAATATGCTCAATTTTGTAAAGTTTCACTTAAAATTGCTGACAAACACAGAGTATTTTCCGCGAAAAAATATAAAATAAAGTTCCAATCCTTGGTCGCTTTGTAAATAGTTTTGAATAAGCGAAAGTTTATAACAGATTATTTGGAAATCTGGTCACCTCCATTCCTCGGAAGCCTGTCCAGTTTGTTAAAATAATGTGGTTTTTTAATTTTGACTGATTTTTTTTTGCTTTACTTTCTACTTCGAAACGCTATATTTTGTAGAGTTTCACTTAAAATACTGGCGATCTGGAGGTCTTTTACGCGAAAAATTACAAGATGTATTTATAGCTTCGTAAAAATTTAACAAAAACTTTTTCAGCGTCGAATTCGAGAGAAAAACGAAAATAAGTTCCTCGCGTTTTTCCCCGAAAACCATTAACGGTTTTTCCAAAACCGATTACAAATCTAAAAGTTTTTAATGGAAAACGCAAAAAAGCATTATTTTCTGATGATTTCCTACTTTTCTGACAATAATGGGGTCTTTTCAGCCAAAAATTAGACAATTAATTTTGCTAGAAAATGCGCCTGATTCATCGTTTTGCAGGGAACTTTAGAAAACCCTTAAATTTGGGTTGGGAGTTTTTTTACCCAAAGTAATTAAGATTATCTGGAAAAAACGATAAGAGAGCAAAAGGTTTTTAAGGTTTCTTCAAATTTTCAGGTCATCCTAGTTTTAACAAAGTTTTTATTAAGCATTTGTTTCTACGCAAAAATCGCATTATTTTTAAGTTAAAATACTGACACTCTACAGGTATTTTCTGTGAAAACTTATAAGATAAATTTTATTAGAACACTCGCCTCTTTAACAACTTTGCACAAATTTTTGGAAAACTTTTTGCAGCTTAGAAGTATGCACAAAACCCTAATAATTATTTCTAGGTCCTTTTCCAAAAATATTCCCCGAACTGAAAAAGCGAAAGTTTACAATCATTTATTTGGAAAACTCTTAGAAACTGGGGTTTCTTTCTTACTCGATAGGAAAAACAGCGTTTTTCCTAACGTTTAACTGTAAAATACTGGCAAACTGAATCTTTTACGCAAAAAATTAAGAGATCAATTTTACAAGAAAACTCGTCGACTTTCTTTGGACTCAGTTGTAGCTGGGAAAATCTAAATGACCTTGTTTAGGTGTTTGAACAAAGTAGTAAAACGTTATTCAGAAAAAATGTTGATAAACTTTTTTTTGAGATGGTTAAAATTTCAGTCTCGAATCTCGTAAAGCTTTTAATAAATTACTCATAACTCATTATTCGATGAGTTAAACCTCGCTAACTCAGAGAGGGCGACAACTCAATAGCGCAACTCAACACAGTGTTTCCCAGGCTATGGATTAACTCACTTCAATATTATTTATTTAATTATCATGAACCAGTTTACAATCATTGTCACTTTTGGTAATTCGAATTCTCACTTTTGCGCAGCATAGTGCTCTCTAATTACAATTGCATTTGATAATAATTATTGGATAATTGTGAGTGCTTAAACTGGGAATAGCGTGTCGGGGATATCGTAAAACTCTAATACAGGGAACATAGCGAGTAATTCCGAGTCAATAAACGGACAGCTATGGGCCAATAATTTTGCGAAAATGCACGCGTGACGCGACACGAAGTGTTCATTTCGCTTTTTATTGGAAAACTGTGGAGACAGTTCAAACGTTTATTTGGAACTCTTGCTCCACTTTATGTGACATGTTGGTCACTGTAACCGATGCTGTGCAATGGCGTGCTCAAGTTAGCCAGTGTTTTCGCGATCTACACCTCTGGATCCACATTATCAACATCCATTTGACGCTAAAGACCGTAAAAGCGCCGCTAGCAAAAGCGCCACCAATCTATTCAAATTAGCATAATAAAAGTTTCCTCATCTACTACTCGCATGCTCTATTTCCAGTGCACCGCGTTCCAGGTACAATAATTTTCGTCAAATCCTAAGTCGGCATCCCACAGTCAATTTATTTACGACGTTTCGCTGAACGCGACCAAATCAAATCCGAACGAACACAAGAACAAATTTAAATTTCGCATTCATGAAAAACGTTTCGCCGCCTCATAAATACGACTTACCTGCACCATTAGTGAGATGGCAACGATTCCTTGTGATTTATGCTGCGCTTCCGACATGTTATGATATAACTCCTTATTAAATCCGTAGAACTGGATCTGAAACAGGAATGGAACAAATCAGTGTCGACCCCATCTTCATTAAACAGGATCGATTTCGGTTTGCCCCTTTTTCGAAATCTTCAACAGTTTGCCGATAATAATGGAAAACTCAATTTCGTTCGCTCAGAATTTTATTTATTCCGAAGTGCCCCATCCTCGTATGTGCGCTTCAATTGAAGGATTTACGATACACACTTAATCAAAGTGAAAAATACTTTCAAGCATTCAATGTTTATGGAGTTATCGGGTCGGGTCCGTTGAGAAACCCGATGTGGGATGTTGAGGGAAAACGTATTCCAGTCGTCTTTCGCCACAAAGGAAAGTCAACTCGCTGGGAATACGGAAGCACGAAAATAGATACACAATAAAGTCGCTCAGTTTTTTCCTTATATGATCTAAAACTCTCATTGATTCAATGATTTATTTTTATATCCAGCGTGTTACAACAGGCATCATTCACAACCGTCGAATAAAATTAAATAAATTATTTTTGGCGCCCGAGAAGGGACGTTGCGTACGTGTTTCTAATTCCTTTCCGCGTCATTTGAAATACGAAAAAAACACATTTTAAAATAAATTTCTAGTTCGTTCTATGGAATCGAGTGAATTCACTCTGGCAGAAGAATTGTTAGTTTTATGTTAACTTTATGACTCCCTGAAGACGTAAAGATAGTTTACACATGTAAAAAACGTTTTAAATGCTCTTCGCAATTTGTTTTTTTTTGTGTCCGAAAAGCAGTGTTTTAACTCCTAAATTCTGATAAACTTCGGTATGTTTTAATGCAAACATTTTTTCCTTCTTCGCTTTCTTTTTTAAAATCACTTTTTAACACTCTTCTAATTCCTGCAAAAGTAGTCCTTTCGTTCATCATTCATTTACTTGCAAAATTTTTTAGTCACGCACCTTTGCAGGCTTCATTAAAAACTTTGCCTTAAAATTACGTAAAATATCCCTTTAGGAAACCAAATCGGCTCAATAACTTAAAACATGGCTACCTAAAAGCCTTTAAGCTGCTTCATTAGCTGTATCTTTTATGCCAGCAATCGCTAGTTGAAACCGATGTTTTAACGAGCCGATTTTGTAGCATCATTTACACCGAAAACAGTGGCACGAATATCACTTTGTTCCAAAGAAATATAAGAACCTTTCGAAAAAAAAAAACAAAACACAGTCTCGAAAAGTGGATCTCGTTAAATCTAGCTTGCTTGTTATAACGGTGCTTAAAGGGAATACTTCCTGAAATTGATTCCTCAATATTAATAATGGTATCGTTATATTTCTAGAGCCTTGGAGCTTTTCAGGACAATTTTTGTTGTTCTACAGTGTTTACCAGCTGTAATTTTTTTAGACAAAACCGTTTTAGAAAAGCGTACAGCTTTAACGCGATAATTATTAAAGCCAGAAAAGTTCGTTAAGAAAGTACCGGCTGTTTCAAATTCTAATTCTCCACTGGGAAATCATCATAATCCGCGGAATAATATATGCACGTTCTTGGCCATGCTCGCAGTAGAAACGAGTGTTCTTTTTCCTAATAAAAGACATTATGCCCGAAGCAGACGCTATAAAAGTGCTCTAAGTGTATGGATCATCGAGATTACTTCGGCAAGTAGAAAGAGTTTGACCTCATAGATCTCTAAGCCTGGAAAGGATCATGTAGCTGGTGCTAGATATAAATATCAGCGTACAATGTAAATGGCTCTGCAGCTTTTCTTTCGCGAAATTTTCTGCATATATTTCTCCAGATTTTATGAAAAACGTATAAGGAGAATATTCTAGAATTTACTTACACTGGAAATGCTGAACTGATAACACCTAACGATCAAACGCCAAAGCACAAATTCAAACAGAAAAAATTGGCATTAAATCACCCAATATAAACTAATACAAGAACAGAATGTTCAATTTGTGAGTGAAAACCCATCCACTTAGGCCATATTATGGCCTCAAACATCCATCAATTACTCGATGCTTTCACGCGATACGTACACAAAGGCCTTCATTCTAAGAAGTTTTAATTAAAATTCAATCATTGCATTAATCGGCACTGCTACTAACTAAATCACTAATAATTTGCCATTGAGTTGCGGAACCCCTAATTGAGTTCCTAAGGTTTCCGTTTCCTCAAAGGAGATGTCGTAATATATGGATACAGTATCGATTCGAGTGTCGATTGTGTAGGTATTAATTCCGTTAAGTAGTTAGTTGCCAGTTTAGCACAAGATTTCAGCTCGGTAGTTAGACAGCGATTTTATCAACAAAGTATTCGCAAAATATTCGTTAGTTATGCGATAGAGCCTGAATTTTTGGGCATACCCTTTATATTAAGTGTACAGACCCATTAAGGCAAAATGTGAACAATTTTGAAAATAAAAACGGAACCTTTTGCCTCTATCAGAATTCAATGGACTCAACCGGCCGTAAATATGCGAACGAAACCAAAGTTCCGTTTCGCCCAACAGTTTTTCTACAGTTTTAAAAAGTTTGCTTGTTCTGTTCGGAATTCTTGTCGAAAACCCCCTCTAATGTAGCTTTAATCGACAGTGCCTTATCTGGCGTTCGAGTATGTAAAGTTTGTGGAACTCTCTTTTAGAGGTCGCATATCGACAGGAAACTTTTACTTGGATAAAATTCGATAAAGTCAGCCGAGTTTGGGTGGGCAATTTTCCACTGAACCATCAAGCAAATAAGTTGTTTGACCATTTAAACAAACGGGATCAATCAAAATATCCGCAATAAAACTAAATTATCTGTCCTTTGAACACCCGCTCAAAATCTACGTTCGTTTTAATTTCCTTGCAATCTCGTTCGGCCGATTTCAATTTATACCGACTCTTCAGAAAGACTTATTAAACAAACTTAATAAAGGGCTGGAGTCTGCTTCATTGCACTGCGGGCACACGAAGCCATTAATAAGCTGAGATTGCAACTTATTGGAAATCAAATTTAACCACGGGCGAAAATTAACGAAAATTAATGAAAAGCTAAATTTAATTAACATGTCAAAGTTGCAGCCGATTTTAGAATGGTAAGAAAATAACTTGGCCTTAACAAGGAAAACAACACTGATACGTTATAGGTTTGATGCATTTGCATTCGAACTGTTAGAATTACAAGTCTTTGTACCGAAATATATGCAATTAAATTAGCCAGATTTGTCGACGTAATATTCACGATCCGCATATTTAGAATTCCCTTGCTACGTGAATGTGGGGCAAAATTGGCTTTTATTATTTCATATGGTAAACATTTTTCCTCGGAAAAGCCATTCAAGAAATGCGGAAAATGCCGTTAAAGGTTCAACAAGGATCTAGCTTATGTATTATACGTTTTTGGTAGGTTGGGACCACTTTGAATAATAATAGTTAAGTTGTTGTCTGCTATAAGTCGCTTTCTTCTTAAGAGGTGGTCTTAATCTTCAGAGGTGGTTTGCTCAGGTTTGCAAGTTATTTAAATTTTTCTTCGTGCTAGAAAAAAAAAAAGAGTTGACTAAAAGCAGGTCTATTTCTGACCAATCTCAAATATTTTTTCCGACTACTATATTAACAAAATAAAAAAAGGAAACTTTCGAAATTCAATCGTTACCAGTATTCATTCACTGCATCTGCAGTTATCTGAAAGACTCCCGATGGAAAGCGGGCTTTTGGGATGGGAAGAAAAATATATTCCAGTCGTCTCTCGCCACAAAAGAAAAGCCAAATCGATGGAAATAAAGTAATAACAGAATAGATACATATCCCAGTCCATCAAGCCGAATTCGAGGGAAATTCAATGCGGCGAATTTGTGTTAGAAAGGGCAGACTTTAGGATATAAAATACAATAAAAGTGGTAGATAAAATTGCTGTCTCCGTTGGGAGTATAAGTCAACCGAGTGGGTGTGCGATATTCAAATGTATACAGAAGGATTTTAATGCAAATTTCTATTCTATATGGAAGGCGCGGAATAAAAAAGAATCGCCATGAATAAGTGGATCGATATTCTCGGAAACCGTGTCGTAATTAATTGAAACCCTTTATAAAAATCAATTGAATCGTATAAGAGGTGGCAAATTCGCGGCATATCACGACACCATGGAGTGGCGAAAAAAAAATAGCAAAAGCGACACAAAGATTTATTTGCAATAAATTTATTCGTGCGTCGCGTGATGGGCCTTTTAGTAAGCCCCACTATTTTCATAACGACAACCACTACATCAAACGGAGTGACGTGCGAGATGTCTTTATTTTGTATTCAGTGCGAATCCACAAATAAAATAAAACTTTTCTTGGATAGGAGGGCTTAAGAAAATATTGGTGGAAAGGGTGCCAGAATCGGACAGGACGACCCTGCTTTTTGCCGTCAAACTTGAGCTGGGTTTATGCCTTCTGCTTTAATATTAGTTTTATTGCGGTTTATACATTAATCTACATATATATGTATGCATGTAGGTCTCAGTAGCTTAATTCCCATGACTTTCCAGAAAAAAAAACAGAAAAAGCGGTTTCAAAGGCGCTTGAGCATAGATAGCAATTGAGAATGTTTGTTGTGGATGCAAACGAAAAGTCTAAGAGAAAATTATACACAAGTATTAATCCCTTAAAAGGTCACGCCATAAACTGAACAGATCTGAATGAAAAAAAGTGAACTTCATCTACAAGAGTTTATAAATGGTTTTCAACTTGATATTTTCCTTGATCTAATGTTATTTGCGTCTGCTTAGATACTTTCTCTTGCTTTTCCTTCAGTTTGCTTTATAAACCCTTTGGTCCATCTGCTTGTCGCATTAAAAAAATCATTCAAGGGTTTCATCATCATTTAATCATTCAATTCAAATTCAATTTTTGCATTTGTGCGGCATTTTTTATTTTTCAATTTGTGAATCTGTAAGCATGTTCGAAGCTTTCACCAACTGCAATAAAATTCAAATTTTTGACGTTCACGAATTCTAATAAATCATCGCTTTTAATGCAAAAATATTAATTTTGCACTCGTTCGAGCGTCTTACTGACTTACTTAAACCTTTTGCTTCACTACTTCACTTCCTGATTATATTGAAGGTTTAAAACACACAGGTGACTGATGATAAGTGGACGCGAACAAAGCTTTCGTTTAAGAATAATTAATCGCGGATGCAAAAGTGTTTTACTGGCAGACAAGATCGTAAAAACCAAATAAAACGAAACCTGCTCCCGGTTGGTCGTTATAAATCTAGGCAAAAAGCATAAACCATCTTGTTACGAGCGAATAAAAGTTTTGCCGAGCACTTAAGGTCATCAAATCGGGAACCCGATCTTAGGCTGAAAAATGAGTGAGTGTCTGGAAGTGTATCGATTCGCCATCGGGTGATTTATTTAAACCCTTTGACTGAGCGCGATCATGAATCTTTTCCAAACGAATATTTCCAGTACTGTGCCCGATAGGGGAGATTGCGTTTAAGGTGTGTTTAGAAAAATACGGCACGTACTTTACAATCAGGAAAATACTAGCCAAAACGCGCTTTGGGTCTAGCAAGTTGATTACTAAGGAGCAATAGAATCAGTTAAGCACAAAGAGTAAATTCCCAGATCAAGTGCGCTGTTAAAACTGCCTTCATGATTTGATTTTAGTGGTGAACTTTTTGATTCCTGCAGTTTCCTCAATGTATGTGTAAACTGTAAACAGTCGCTTTGATGATTGTTGTAAGTTTGCGCTCTGCATCATCTTGTGTCATATTTCGACAATTTTTTAATTCGAAAGTTACAGCGGTGCTTTTCACCACGACAAATTGCGATGAGATTTTTCAATCGCCAAAGCCCAAAATATTGCTCAAGTATAAAATGTCTAATTTCTAAACATTTTCATTACTTACTTATTACGTCCTCCATTCCTGAGTCAAACACTTCAAAGAATGAGGATAAAACATGGCTTTAGAGGTTTAGATGAGCTGAACCATAATAGCGTTTGGAACGCCGGTAGAAACCGAGCAAAAAACCCCAACTACCAAAAACTAATATCACTCTAGATTAAAATGAACTTTATAAAGGAGGAGCGCTCACCGTTTGCACCCGCAATATTTGTGCACTTTCTTCGAGCTGGTACGTGAAAAACATTTTCCCAGCGTAATAATGAAAGGCCATTATTAACCTGTATGCCACCCTTAAGAGAATCTTAAATATCTGGATCATTGAGATTACACCGCTGTAGAGAAGCTAATCTCGTGTGTCTTGCTTAGCACAAAGGGTTAAACTCTAACTAACTAAGAGTGGAGGTGATGAGGAGTTATAATCAGCTGGTGGATTTTGGGTCGTTAAGATTTTAAATGAACTTTTGATTAGTTTTTGCTACTTACCTCAGCAGGAAATGAGTAGCCTTGAATGTGGTGCTCGGATCCTTGTTGATTGTCGGTGCCATAATGAATATAAATTTCCTCAAACTGATATCGGTACGCCAGTGGACCTCCCGAAATATTCACGTGTTGTTTAGTGTCTTTTTCCACACGAAACACCAGCGATTGGCCAGTGTTGTGCAACGTCCCACTAACCTGAAAATAAACAAGAATCCTGTTTCAGAAGGCAAAAGCGCCAACATCCGATTCATCCAGAAGCCATTATTTCAAGACACAGCAAAAAGCTAGAGGCCGAACGAAAAATAAATGTAAAAACTGACCTAGTGGCTCTTGGCAAGCATTTTTCCTCTCACTGACAGAAATCCCAGAGGCATATTAATCTTTTATAATTCGGCCCCTCGATCGTAAATATGGACGTGCTTAAAGAAAACAATATCGAGCGACCGCTCGCTTTCCGCACACATTCTTTTGACAAATGGCTGCTTAAAAGCCCCCAACCGAAAGATTGTATGATAACATTAACTGTATTATAAATAATTGAATTTTTTTGCTTGGCAGCCGCAGCCCTTGAATAATAATCGGCTACCATGGATGTGGCGTAACGGAAACGTTTATAAAATATTCATGTACCGCGGATCTGGTAAGTTGATTCATTTGGGGAAAAAAAACTCTTCCTAATGGTATTTTAACTGGAGTGCTTTATTGTGATGGCGTGTGATATGATTAAGCATTAAAAAAGTCGGTAAACATGGGATTCTTTAAATAATTGTACCTAGAGGGAGTATGTTCAAACGTTTGTTCTTCCAACGCATTCAAAACTGGTTAAAAACTGAAGTTGGTTCATAAACGGCTGAAAGCATTTCGGCAACATCTATTTTCACCGACCTTTTAACATGTTGACATTCGACACAAATTTGCGTGCTTTGAGGTGAAAACATTGAATCATGCAGAAATAAACGTACGCCTCATTTTCCCAAAACAATTTTTACAATTGCGATAGAATAAATCGAAATTCACCCTAATTCTCCTGTTCAAAAGCGAGAGTAGAAACTTTGCCTCACTCCACAGCAAAGTTTTCTACCAAACATATTAAACCACGAAAACCGGCATGTTAAAGACTTAATTTGGAATCCATTCGCACGGGGCTTTAAATCGGGGCCGTACAACGTAATTAGATAATGTTATCAGGAAGATTAGCACTGATCCCTTTTAGCATTAATCGTATTTCGACATTATTTGCATAGAGGGCCATTATCAAAATCCTTTCAGATAAGCGGCAAATTATTGCAGTTCGTCCAGACTTAGCGCCTACAAACCAGAGCCTAAAGGCAATATTTAGTCAGCACCAGTGGATTCGCGAAATACTGAAACCAAAGCGGCAACAAGACGCGTAATTAACGAGAGCATTATTGGGAAACCTGAAGCTTATTAAAACCAGTCCTTTCACCTGAAGGGGTTAATGGCGGAAGGAGTTGAAGCCGATGAATAACGAGTAGGACGACCACGTCTTTGAATGCCTGCTGCAGTTTACTTCCTTCAATCTGTGAATATTAGTGCGCTATTCAGGCCGACCTTTTGCATCTAAAGTAGCTAAGTAAAATAACTGAGCCCGAGTGAAAACCGTCTCGTTTCAAAGTTTCCGTCGTAACTTGGAACTATCGCGGGAAGTTCATTAGGATGCAGAAGCATCACTATTAAAAATTCAATGTTTTCGAACGTTTGCTGCTGTATCATCAGTTCCCAACGCAAAAACTTCTAAAGGATGCACATGTTGCCTCGGTGCTGTTAATTTTTATATTTAATCACTTCGTTTGAGTTTTTCCTGACTGAATAATGAAAAAAATATAAATCTTGCTTAGCTGCAGCAGTCCAGGTCCAGGGTCGTGAAAATATTTGTTTCCTGGCGTTTCGCAATAGCGATTGCATCTTCACACGACAATCACCTGCGTCGGTCGAAGATTGTAAACGATTTTCGTTTGATTTGCAATTTTTCGTTGTTAAACCTTTGAGATTTTCTCGTAAGCTGAAGCGGACTTCCAGGTTTTCTCAGGAATCGTCTTGGTAAATGAACAACAAAAAGCGATTAGGAACAGAATACACTAAGGGACCCAGAAGAAGGTTTTTAAAAGATCAATAGAAAAACATGGGAAACAACGTTTAGGAATGTTTTCCGGGCTTTGAAGCCGTGGTCTATGGGAATTTCTTCCGGACGTTTCGTCCACAACTGCGGTGAACATTATCAAAGGCGATGAGGCAGTGGACGAAGTGATCTCCCGTGCTTTCCGACTAAGACCTTGTCTTCATCTATGACTAAGACTGGTTCATGCCCTGGGCACTCTCACTTAAAAACCTAACCGAGAACGACTGATTTCATAGTCGCCAGAGGCGCTACAGACGATAAAGAGCTACAGATTAAATCATGAAATAACCCACTGTAGGATGAATTCTGATTCTGTAGATGAATACGATAACGCAAGTCAAATAAATCTTCCCCATTGTTGTTTATGGGTTTGTCATGGACAAGATGTCTGTCGATGTTGATGATTCGCTATCATCCAAAGAAAAAGCCTATTCCGATTTTATTCATTTCTGACGATATAATCTGTGATAAGTTGTATGATTTCGTGCCTCATGCTTCCTGCACATACTGGATTGTGATATGTTTCCCCATGTTCTCCAATACGTAATTTGTGAATATTTTGTTGGGTAAGTCGAAATCACTTAGTTTATTATTCAGGTGGCATTTTCATCAAGAAACAAATAAACGGAAAACAGGATATTTTTCTCATTAGAGCTAGTTCATAGCATCGGGTTGCTCACCGCTGAAACCGGTACTTAATACCTCTGTATTATGTAGAATTACAGATTAATATTT